CCAGCAGCTCATGGACCGCTTCCAGCAGCTGAGCCCCCCACACCCCCGCCCACCAGTCCAGCCCCCCAGCCTGGGTGCGCAGCAGCAGCTGCAACCGCCGGAGGCCGCAGAGGCCGCCAACACGGCAGCACCAGCGCCGGGGGCACCGCCGTCGCAGCCGGAAGCCGAAGAGGCCGCCAACACGGCTGCGCGGCTGGACCGGCAGCCCCCACCCGACCCCACCTTCTCCCAAGAGGCGGCAGCGGCAGCCGCGTCTTTCCTGGCAGAGCAAGCAGTTGCAGCACCGGCGGCCGAGGCCGCCGCGCCTGCAACAGCAGCGGCGCCGACGGCAGCAGCGCGCACGCCGCCGTTCCCACCCAGCAGGTCCAGCCAGTACGACGTGCGCGAGGTGCGTGACCACCGCGAGCACAGCGGCAAGCGCTTCTACCTGGTGGACTGGCAGCCCAGCTGGATGGAGGAGGCCGCAATGACCACAACGGCGCGGGCAGGGTACTGGGCACAGCGTGGCATGCGTGAGCCGCCTGTGCCCCGGCCTCGCCGAGCGGCCAGCCGCGGCCGCCGCCGCGACCGCAGCGCACCGGCGGCAGCAACAGCCGCAGCAGCAGCGGCGGCCGCTGCAGAGGAGGAGGCAGAGGAGGAGGTGGAGGCGCAGGAGGGGTTGGAGGCAGAGGAGGCAGAAGAGGCGGAGCAGGAGGGGCAGACGCAGGATGGCCGCCGCCACAGCCGCCGCCGCCAAGGGCTGCCGCCAGCCTAGGGGCGCGGGGCCCGCGCGCTGCTGGCATTCCAGAATTGCCAGGGCCGCGCTGGCCCGATCATGTGGGCGCTGGCACAGCGCCCTCAGCAGCCGGCGGCGCTCCTGCTAGCAGAGATCCACTTGCAGCCGGGCGAGGCGCTGCCGCGGCTGCCAGGATACAGCAGGGTGTTTGTAGCAGCCCGGCCAGATGGGTACGGCGGCGTAGCTATCCTGCTGGCGGACAGCTGGAAGGTGGCGGCAGCGCTGTGGCGGAGCGACGCGGCTGACGGCCGGCTGTGGGTGCGGGTGCAGGGCGCGCTGCCTGGCGGGCTGCCGCTCTTCCTGGGCACCGCCTACCTGCCGCCCCAGGGCAGCCCCGGCTGCCCCGAGGATGTGCCGGCCTGGTTCCTGCGGCACGCGGATGTGCTGGCGGAGGCCGAGGCAGCTGGCGCAGCGCTGCACGCCATGGATGCCAACGGGCGCACCGCCTCCCTCCCTGACTGGCCAGACGGCGACGAAGACGCGGGCTGCCCTGCCCGCCGCAGCAGCGACACGGCGGCCCCCAACTCCCATGGCAGGCAGCTGCTCAGCCTCTGCCAAAGCAGCGCGGCCCGCATCTGCAACGGCAGAGTGCCGGGCACCACCAGCGGCGACGCCACCAGCTTCGGCAGCCGCGGCACCGGCAGGGCGGTGGTTGACTACTGGCTGGCCAGCGCCAGCCTCCTGCCGCGGCTGCCCACCATGGCGGTGGACAGCTGGGGCCTGGCAGCGCAGCACTCCGACCACGCAACGCTCCTGCTGGAGCTAGCAGCACCCCCGGCGGTACAGCGGGACAGCACGGCGCAGCAGGAGCACACCTCCGCACCCCCGCAGCAGCGCCAATTCGAGCTGGGGACAGCTGAGCAGCTGGCAGCAGCCGTGGCGCTCCTCGCAGGCACGCAGAGGCAGCTGGATGCCCTGGCAGCGGCAGCGGAGTCAGCGGCCAGCCCTGCAGCCCTGGAGCAGCTGGCAGCGGCATTTGCTGAGCTCATGGTGGAGACCCTGGATGGCGCAGGCATGCGGCAGCGCAGCAGCAACGGCGGCGCCCAGCGACCACACTCCCTCCCCGGCAGCCTACAACGGCAGTACGGCATCCGCGACGCAAGAAGGGCGCAACGCAATGCGGTGCAGCAGGCAGCTGTTGCGCAGCAACGTGGCATCGGCCCTGAGCAGCAGGACGCAGCCCTGCGGCGGGAGGTGGGACGCTGCCGCAACCGCCTGAAGCGCCGGCTGGTGGCAGCGTGGCACAAGTGCCAAGCCCTCCGCGGCGAGAAGCTGGAGCAGCTGGCCAAAACGGACCCACAAGCCTTCTTCTTCAGGCTCAAGCCCCAAGCCGCCAAGCAGCTGAACCTGGTGCCGGAGGACGTGGCGCGCCACTTCCAGCACCTGCTGGGCACCGCCGCC